CAGACAACAATATTAAAATTTGAATATAAAATATCAACAATTTTCTAATGATTCTCAGGCATTTAGAATCTAATTTTTCCAATTTAGTAAATGAGAGTATATGTTATCACTAACCCTTACCTCCAGAATTACTGGAGCAGTTTCAAGTGCTCCAACTATTATAAGCACAACTATCACCTTTATGTTCCAGATTATACGTGATTTGATTTTTTCCACTATAGTCCGTTGACATAGCGACGTTCACAATCTGGTCGGTCTTTCACTTCTGTTGGATCTAATCTTCTCGCTTGGATGATGCGGTCCGTGTTGATGTCGCAAAGTATCTTAATCATTTCGTTTTCTACTACAGACTCGGGATTGTATTCACCCATTTCTTTACAGTGTCAATTATTATTTTTATTTCTCTTTAGTCTTTACTTATCTTTGATAGTTTATTATACATGTGAATTTTTTTTTTATCATACTCAGTCGCTTTCTTTCTCTTTTTTTTATTTTCTTGTTATCTATCTTCCTATTGCTTCTTCACCACCTTCTCCGACTTTTTCTTTTCTTCTTCCTCCTTCTCCACCCCCTGCTTCATTATCATATTCTTTTTTCCTGTTTCTTTCTATTTGCCTATCTTCTACTATCTCTTTCGATTCATATCGTCGTCCTCCTTTTTTCACTTTATCCTAGTTAATCTGCTATTTATATAATCTTTTTTTACAGTGGCTTTCCGACTGAGAAAACCTCAAAATTATTGCAATCTATGGACTGAAAAGCTGACAATATCTTCTCATGCACGTATTCCTTGGTGTCTGCATCTGACCCTAATAAATAAGTATTTTGGCGTAAGCTCACCGGAATAAATGACCATGTCTTACGCCTTTCACCAATTGAGGATGCATAACAAATAACATCTTCATTTTTTCAGATTTCTTCTACAACACAGAAACTCCTGATAAATGAAATAAGTACTGCATCAGTATTATTAATCAGAAATGCCAAAAATTAGATAAATACATCTAATAATGCTTAAATTCTTCTTTCATTTGAATAACCGTGGCTACGCGACGTGGCTTAAAGTCGACGTGGTGCTGGAATTTTGTAGGTATATCTATCTAAGCACATTCCAGAGCTGTTGATAACTGAGCTATGTTTGTTGGGTATGGCTGCTAAGTATTTCTTGAGGTCTGAACAAGTCTCAGAGTTGGAGTTTAAACCTGGCGGGAATTGAGTGGTCCTAGAATCAGTTTCGGGACACCCACGCGCGATGAGGTTTTACGTTATATTGCTGGAAGAAAACACCACCACTGGAAAACATGGCGGGCGTAAAGGCTTGAAAATAGTCTGTAATAAGAATCTGTGTTTTTCACACCTGTTAAGACAAACACCAGTTTCATTGGTGGTCGTTGTGGATTTCAACAGAACGCCACGTCCGACATCATTACAGGGTGCCCACACAGGCTGTATCCATAACGTCATGCGATTTACACTACACATAATTTCAACTGCTTGCTTGTAAACATAACTCCTCTGACAAGGATACACTGTGCCAGCCTTTCCTGTTCAAATGGCAATGTTCTTTGATCCAGCTGAGGCGAAATCAGCGATATCGAAGTCTCACTTATATTACTATTGTTAGGGTAACATAGCGAAAGTCATCAAAAGCCCACGGAATGTCAAAAGCGAGTTACCAAAAGCGAGTTACCAAAAGCCTATGTATTTCTGTGTATGCTGTACTGTGTATTGATTGGTGAGTAGAAGCTTTGCATTTACTTGTGATTTGATGCAGTGATCTGGATCTTTGGGTAGTTCCCATTTATTTCAGCTGTGGTCACATTCATGGTTCATCTGTGGGTTCCCACAGGTTTTTTTTCTTCCCGCGAATGTCTGTCCAGAATTCCAATATTCCTGTTATACACTTGCTACTGTTGCCCGAGAAAAATCTAGAGCAGCTGATACCTTTCTGGCTTCAACCTTTTGTGGTCAAACGGTGTTCAATCCTGTCCGCTTCCCATGACTGCTACAGTTACCTTGCCTCATTGACTATTACGTCACACAATTCTACGACTGTATTCAGAAAAAGGAATCTTAAACATAGAACCTACGAATTTTGGATCTTACGTTGTTTCATCTTATTAGTTGACTGCATGTAAACTCTCAGAATGGTTGTCTATCTATCTATCTATGATTTTGTATATTCCTTTTCTTATGCTACCCACTCACGGAACATGTAACAACTTATCCTCAGTCAGTCAAGCTAAATGAATCTGCCACATGTTCTATTTCTCAAAAAGTTTGTAAAACGTCCGAAGACATCGGGAGATACATGCGTGTTCATAGAAGCTGAGCACTTCTATTTTACTCATTTATCCTCCGTGACGAGGGAGTTCACTGATTGAATTTCCAAAGGATTTAGAATTTTCTACAATTCTTATTTCCTTGCATATACCACCGTTTTTGTTTTGCCCAATTCCCAGTATATCACCTTTCCTACCCAATTAGATCTATTTTTGTGATACTGTGCAAACTTGCAGCATTTAAGTTTATGATTAGTATTTTCATCTGCAATTATTATTATTATTATTATTATTATTATTATTATTATAACACCATCCTTGTTTTTTTCTTTTATATTTTTAAAAATATTATTTCAATATTATCCTCTTCGAATCAAGTTAAAAATGATAATCAGAAAACGAAACAAACCAACCAACCAAATCTTTTCCAATTTTGCAAATTTCTTTCAATTCTTACATCTGTTTCTATATCCGACAGGTATCTTTCAGAAACCGGAAATTATTTCGTATGGCGTCTTTTTAATCGTGACGTAGAGGCTAAGAATTAATCTGATTGGTTCTCATATTTCAACCCCGCAGCTATATTTCAAAGGTTACAAAAATTTTCTAATTAAATTTATTGAAGAATTCTTTCTATTTTGGTTTTACTGGAGAAATAAACTTTTGATCTTTGTGCTTGCTGAAGTAAAGGCTTAATTCTAATTTACAAATTTACGATAAAAGACGAATATTTCAAAGTAATATGAATAAAGGATTTACACCGGTCAAGTATAATGTAGAACAAGACATTTTAAATTGGAAGAAAAAGTTTATGAATATTTTTCTTCTATGTACCGTGTCATTTCAGAACGTTGGTGATCATGTCTGTCCACAGTTTCCTGTCCTTTGTAGCTCTTAAAAAATTTGTTTTTTCTAACCTCTCCTAAACTTTGCTCCGCCATTCACTTACTCAAGCTCGCAAGATAGGTTATGTGTTGTCACCTTCTGCTCATTTTGCCTTCAATCTGTCAAGTGACTATCACATTTTCCAAGACATCTTTCCTAAATTATGTGCTCTAGGAATTCCAACTGTCTCTTCCTGATGTTAAGTGTAACTATCCATTTTATTTCCATTTTCCCTAAATCTTTGTCACTGGTTACATTTTCGGTTTATGGTATTCTTATCATCCACTTGTAGAACGAAATTTCTGTTTCTTTAAGTCAATTATTTGAGGATATTGTCCTTCATTCACTGCAATATCGGAGAACTGATATTACGTAAAAGTTCAGTACTCTTTTCTTTATTTCTAACGAAGGTGTTCTGATTCTTAATACTTTGCTCAGCTTTTGGAAAACATCTTTCGCTATTGCAATGTACCTTCGGATTACAGTGTCGCAATTTCCATCTTCTGTCAAAACACTTCCCAGATATTTAAATTGTACTTGTTTGATTTTGCATTCTGTTTTCTTGCAATTGATGTTTAGTCCTTTCTTCTCACTTTCCTTCACTGACTTCTGTTGAAGTTCTTGTAGTCTCCTTTCTGTGTTTGCTATCACCACTGTGTTATCTATATATCTTATGTTACTAAAATTGTGGTCGACAGTAATGAATTCTTCTAATCTCTCAGAATTGTCACAGTGTACAGGTTGAATAAATCCGGTGGGAAGACGCATCCTTGTCTTAAACCCTTTCTCTGTTTGTATATTTATAGAATACATCTTCTGTATGCAGGCGGTTTTCTGCCAGAATAGGTTCTGGGTTATTCTGATATCCTTCACAAATATGTCATTGTTACTTAACGTTTCCAACACTTCTTTGTGACGTACTTATCAAACGCAAGTACACATCCTTCAGCATATCTGATATCATTATAAGCATAAATATTGCATTCCTACTTCCAGCGTCTTTAACGGACCTTCATTATTCTTGTCCTATTTCCGGTTTAATTCTGCTGCGCATTTTCTATTAGAATTCGGATAAATTTTGTCATATGGCTAATTATGAGAATTATCCGATGGAGTTCACATTCGTTTGCACATGAATTCTTAGGCAGTGCTATGAAAATGGATGTACTTACATCTTCCGATATATCAACACTGTTGTACATTTCATTAATTGTGTCTGTAATCTTGTCAATGCCAAATTCATCTAAGGCTGCCAGCGTCTCTAATACAATTCTGTCTAGTCCTGCTTCTTTCTTTCTGTTCAATTTAGCCCTTGGCTGATTTCACCCCAGATTTTAATATTTCTGGCCCTTCGAAATTTCTGTGTATTGCATTTTTGTCGTAGAAGAGTTTTCCGATATATTCGTTCCATCTCTGGAGTATTTTTTCTCTCTAATATCAATGTCCCGTCCATGGGTTCTATGCATCCTATTGGTGAGCATGTCTATTGTCCTGTTAATTCTCTTATTTTTTATGCCTTTATCTATGATATTCATCTTTCTATTTCTGTACATTTTTCGTTGAGCCATTCCACTTTAGTTTGCCGGCATTTGTTCCTAATTTCTTTGTGCACTTTCCTATATTCTGTGCCGTATCTTGGTATTGATTTTGTCTCGTTTTCATCACGTCTAGAATTTCCTTCATCATCCATATTCCTTTTCCCCTTGTCTAATTTTCTTTGGGATCATGTCGAGTGCTGATGCTACTGAAATTTCTCTTAATGTGTCCCACTTTGAGTTTTCATTCTGCTTTTGAACTGAATATATATCTCTTCACATTTGAATCATTTAGAGCTTACGGCCATATCCCGTTGAAACACCAGTTTCTGTAGGCTCACAGAAGTTAAGCAATATCGAGCCTAATCAGTACGTAGATGCGTGACCGCTTGGGAATATCAGATGCTATCAGATTGGATGTGAAGCTTGAAGCACTTGGATATATTTTGCATTGTAAAATGGCATTCCTGAATCTCTTATTGACAGTTATATAATCGATATGAGTTTTTCTTTTAACCTCATACAATTCCTCATGTCCATATACGCCATGGGTGTACTTGAAACCAGGTATTGGCTACTACTTGATCATTCATCGTGCAGCATTGAACCTATTTTTCTCCGCGTTCATTACTATTTCAACTATTTCACCATCTCTCTCCTTGCCTACTTTGGCATTCAGATCGCACATGACGATTGTAATTTCTTGTGATTGCATTAAGGCTTGGCGTTGTCTAGGAGCAGTAAAACTTTTCAATTTCTTCTGCACTTCGGTGCATACCCAACTATGACGGATATGTTAAAGCGCGTTCCTTTCAGTTTAACGACAAAAATACTTTCAGATAGTTGACAGTATCCCAGAACACATTTCTTCCTGTCTTCTTCTAATATCAGTCCAACTCCTCCTACATCTCCATTTTTTCCCACCCCGTTTTGCATATACCTAAAACATTTAACCTGTTCATTTCTTGCTTTATACTTTCTAAATGGCCACATTCATTTAGTGTTCTGATATTCCGTGTTCCGAGAATTATTTTTTTATGCGAACATTCGCTTGATGATGGTCCAGGGACACTTGTCGCTTAGGTTTTCCCATACCTAGTGAGGGATCAATTCATTTATTTTCACATAAAAATATTTTAAACGAAGATTTTAAAAAATCCCAGTAATCCCCATTTATGTTTAATATACAATAATAATACCAACTTTAAATAAAATTAATATTTTTTCACATAGTTTTAGGGCCTTCTATTTTAATATATATTTTTTTAATTAAATACAATTAATCCTTGTTTATTTTAAATATAAAATAAGAATCCCGTCTATTTTAAATGCATTATATATATTAAAAAAAACAAAAAAAACAAAAACGTAATCCTCGTATAATATATGGACTGTGCCAGCATTGCGTTAATAACAGATATTTTTTATTAAAATTAAAATTATGCAACGGTCAGTCTCTACCCAGAACCTGAAGAGTGCGTTGTGCAGGAAACTCCGAGTTGTGCTACCAGTGAAGGATAATATATATATATATATATATATATATATATATATATATGAAACAATGTAACTGTTATCGGTTAAACATGTCCACTACTTAAGAAGATAAGATGTTTTTTTATATGATAAAAATAGGTGAAACAGTTTAAATCTATCTTTGGTTAACAATTAGCTGATTCGTGCCCAATAAATATTTTTCTTTATAAAGAGACTGATAATTCTTGTGGATTCCGGGATGAAATCCAGTACCAAATAAATAACAAACGCCAAGAAGGAATATAGGAAAATAAATGTATTAACGTAATAATACAGCTGGTAATGCAGGTTAGTAGTTCCTGGAATACGGGTTAATAATAATATATATATATATATATATATATATATATATATATATATATATATATATATATATATATATAGTCTTTGGTATCGACATATCACTGTATGACTTCTTACTGAGTCTACGTGCTCGCTTACTGTGACTCTTGCTCGTTACGTTCGTTCTGGTTCGTGCTCGTTCGTCGCTCTAGTTCTTTCTCATTCGCTCCCCGGGTATTCACTAGCAGTAGTATATGTATACCCTGGGTGATTCCATTTGTGTAAAAAGGGGAGAACCCTAAACACCCACCTCCTTAGATTCCTTTTTGGGGGGGAAGTTAATATTTTTTCCTCTTATGGTCAATAATTAGAGGTTTTGCAAATTTTCTTTTCCTGCTCGTCCTTCTAATTTCTGTGTCTTCTTGTAGTCTTTGAATCTCAAATGCTTCAAAGATCGCCTCCATCGAATCGTCATTTTCTGCAGCTGACGAGCTTGGCTCCTCAACCCTTCTTTTTTGTATTTGGTCAATATGTCTTCTGTGGGTAAATTTTTTGCCTTGTATTGTGTACATCACATTTCCTAGTCTGTTAATTATTGTCCCTGGTTCCCAGTAAGCCATATTGTTCCTAAACATTCTGAAATAGACCCATTCGCCTCGTTTAAATGATATCTTAAGTACTATAGGTGTATGCCGGTTTTTATTTTTTTTAGGCAATAACTTATCAAACAGACCGTATTTTGCGGGCAAACATCACTTCCGCTGGTGAAAGACCAGATGGTGTGTTCCCGTTTGGGGTTATTCTGTATACTTGGAGGAACTGTTGTATAGCTCTTTCTGTCGGTACGTCCTCTGCTTTTTTCAAAGCTCTCTTTAGCATGTCTACAAATCTTTTGGCTTGCCCGTTAGATCGCGTATGGCACGGAGCTATCTAAATAAACTTTACTTGATACGTTGCAGAGAATTCTTGGAAGTCGCTGGAGGTGAATTGTGTACCATTATCAGTTACCAGGCAATCTACGACGCCGAATCTCGCGAATAATTCATGTAGACAATTTATAGTATTTTCCGTCGTCGGGTTTTTGAATCTGAAAACTTCTGGCCACTTGCTAAAGCTGTCTACCGTTATTAAGTAGTAGTACCCCTCTATGGGTCCTGCATAGTCCGCATGGATTTTAGACCAAGGTCTGTCCACCTTAGGCCATGGTTTTTGTATAGTAGGTGGTGCCTTTGCTGCAGCCACACAGCCTTTACATCTTTCCACTATTTGCGTAATATCATCATCCATATTGGGCCAGTAAACGAAACTTCTCATTAGTGCTTTCATAGGGTTTTTTCCTGGATGTCCTAAATGAAAGTCCTTCAGAATGCGCCTTTGTAACGACTTTGGTATGACCACCCTTTCATTATACAGTAATATGTGATCACAAATTGAAAAACTGTCTGCTAGATTCCTTTCCTTTTCTTCTATTTTTTCTTCGTCCTCTGAATAAATTAATCTTTTTCTGCTTCTCTTATCTCTAGCAAGGTCACAGGTAGTTCCTTTACTGTATTGTATAACACTTAACTGATTTCGTCTTCGGCTCGCAAAGCCGCTATTACCGACTCTTCAAGAGGTTCGCATTTCGCAGGTACCAATCGCGACAATCCATCAGCATGCCCAATTTTCTTCGACGGTAGGAGCTCAAGTTTGAAATTGTAATTCAATAAAATGGTTCCCCATCTTAGAAGTCTGTTGACTGTGTAAATTGGTAGTCCTTTTTTCGATCCAAAAATCGTAAGAAGTGGTTTATGGTCCGTTTGAAGAGTAAACTCTCTTCCATAAATATATCTGTGAAAGCGAGTTATGGCGAATATTATGCCTAACGCTTCCTTTTCAATTCCTCTCTGCTGGTAACAATGATCTAGATGCGTGAGCTATGGGTTTCTTTGTGCCATCCTGCATCTTGTGTAGTATGCAAGCTCCTACTCCGTGTGAACTTGCGTCACTAGCAATAATGATTTCTAGTTTGGGGTTAAAATGCGTCAGTGCTAGCTCAGAAGTTAATTTTTGTATAATCTCCTTAAACGCTTTCTGGCAGTCTTCCGTCCAATTCCATTTATTCTTTTTTTTCGATAACTCATTGAAGGGAGCCCTCAATTTGTGTGTATTTTCGATGAATTCACCGTAATAGTTCGTTAGACCAAGAAAACTTTGTAATTCTGCGACATTTTTCGGCTCAGGCATATTTCTTATTGCAGATGCCCTATCTGGGTCTGGTTTTCTGCCACTTTCATTAATTATATGGCCTAAGTATTTGATTTCATTTAGGAAAAAAATCACATTTTTTCGCCTTTACTTTAAACCCAAAATCCTGAAGTCTTTTAAAAACTTTCTTTATGTGCGATGCGTGTTCTTCATTGTCGCTTTTGATTAGAATGTCGTCCAAGTAAGCGTTAGCAAAGTTCTGGCCCATGAGCATTGTATCCATCGTCTGTTGGAAGATTGACGGTGCTACTTTTACCCCAAATGGTAATCTGTTGAATTTGTACAGTCCTTTGTGCGTATTAATACATAGAATTTTTGTGCTTTCTTCTTCTTCTGGAATCTGAAGATAAGCTTTGCTTAAATCTGTTTTAGAAAATACCTTACCACCGTTAAGCTTGGTAAATATTTCCTCCGGGATATGGTAATGGGTAGTGATGGTCTTTTATAGCCTTATTTAACCCATTCGAGAAATCTGTGCAAACACGGATTTCTCCGGATTTTTTCTTTACGTAGACTACTGGTGCCGCCCATTCACTGAACTCGACTTTTGAAAGGATTTCAGTATTTTGTACAAGTCTTTCGAATTCACGTTTCGCTTCTTTTTAAATACTGGTTGGACATTTTCTTTTAATTCAATTCTAGCTGAAAACTTGTTACATCGTCCCAACCCGCTCGCGAATACTTCGGGGAATTGACTATGTAATTCTTCCTTTAATTTTGTAGTTTCTGACGATTCGCACTTTTTTTTTTTTTACACAAAAAGAGCTGATAGGTAAATCCCATACGTCGAACTTTTGAATCCAGTCTGTGCCCACCAGATTTTCTGTATCCTTCATTACGAATATTGAGTTTTTGTTTCCCCGTGGAATTTTACATTTAGGATTACTTCCCCTTTGAATTTTATACGCTTTCTTGTAACGGACTTAGCAATTTTCTGTGTATGAATCATGCCCTACCTGCCTGAAACGGCATTCACCCGAGGTGGGTTTTTATCCAATATTGGAGTTTCATAGGAATTTGGAATTCTTAAAACCGCATGTATAGCATATGAGATTTGATTATAGTGGTGAAGGTTTCGTGCAGGACCAGCCACACTTTTTGAAGGGCCGATTACAAAGACGTGGTGCACTAGGTCCCCAAACGACCCTCCGCAGGTTTTGAATTCAGAGTTTTCCTTCTCCTAGACCAGTTGCCATCCAAGGCTGTAGAACCCAGTCTATTTACCCATAGCTGGGGGGGGGGAGAAGAGGATTCATACCTTTCCCAAGGGTATTAGCACGTAAGTGAATGAAATGGATTCGACTTTTGAGTTTTTTCGGCTCTCTGATTCCTCAATCCAAGC